TTATATTAATCGCTTCAGAAAATGTCCTATTTTCTTTCAAGTTTTGGTTCGGACATGTTTCATACGGCTTAGAAGACCTCGTGGTTCCGTTGATGTTTACAATGTTATAATTTGGGGATATGGCATTACCAACTCGGATTGACTATGGCTTACAATGCGGTTGTCATCAATGAACCAGAAGACGATTACTCTTGCGGAACCTCTAGTCTTTTTATTATTGTACTTTTTCAGGGTCTCGGTGTAAATCTTTTGTTTGCTCATATTTTGCCCTAGTTTTATTGATTATCGTGTTGGGTTTGGCCCTAGTTTCATCGAATTTGTGTTTGCATTAACACTCGGAAGCAATGTCAGTATTTTCTTTGTTTTAACAGAGGTAATCTATTTTCTTACCATTGTCACGTTCACAAAAGTTTTGTTTCTGATTCACCAATTAGTGCAGCGTTGAGTTTTTTTTTTATCTACAAGAACTTGACCTTTCATATCTGCACATCAACTAACCCAGATACGGTGTTTGATCCTTCCTTTACTCAATCATTTAGCGTCATCGGTTTTCTTTCCCTCATTCAAATTAGATCAAATTTTTGAATGATTTGAAAAAAATAATACTTAAAAATGTCAAAATGATTAAGTTTGTTTCAAGTTGAATATGTTAGTTTTGTAAACACTTGTGAACGTGTTAGGTAACTAATATTTTTTCAGTCTGTATAAATGTATTGCTGTTTGTGGTTAGGAACTAACCTTATACGAATCTCTTGAATCAAAAATGATGATTCGATAATCCATCAACATACAATGAATTTAATAGAATGATTTTAACACCAGCAATTCACAGTGAAAATGCTTAGTAATCGTTCTTAGCATCATTTACATAAAATCTGGAAAAGCACGAATGTCCCTGTTTTGCTACTAGGAATAGTGGAGGTCGTAATGTTCAGTGATTACAAGGACAGATTTGATGCACTCGAAACATGTTATATACGAATTTACAGTAAAGCAGAATTATGGTTGTTACAGCATTGCTGTCAATTGAAAATGTTACAGCCACGTTCCTGTGTTTCGGTAACGACACGGACAGTAGCCTGCTTGAGTTCACGTTCCGGGTCCTCGCCAATAGTGACTCAGTTTTAGATATCGTGCCTTATGATGCTAGTTCATCCTCCCTTGGTGTGGGTAAGAAAACCGGATGTACCACAGTCCAAGGGAACGGTACAACTCTCAGCCCCTTCGAGTTGACCATCACAGTGGACACTGATGACCCGACATCTATCATAAATTTGTCCAATACATGCGGAGTTCAAGAAGTATGTTTGTAATTTTTGTATTTCTTGATGATAGACTTAGATCAGATACTGATGTCGCGAATGAAGTAATCAATGCTTATACATGTTTTGTTGTGTTAGTGCGTCACTTGATAATCATAACCATAACTACATTGTATGGTTGTGGGTAAAAAGTATCTTACATGCTTCTTCGTCACTGCATTAACTAAATGTTCCATAAACATATAGGAAAGTAAATAAATACATTAAATGAACAAAGAAGCGTAATAAAAATGCATGTTATCCTAAAGTTATGTTTTTACTTGATATTCTTCCCACAATCATCGCCAGTTAATCTATTTAGATAACGGCTGGGGTGATATATAAGTTCCGACTACGGACAATTGGTGACCTCGAACTTGACCTGGGAACAGATGCTTATTACGACTGTCAATGTGATATGACCAACCTTCTAAGAGGCTGGCAAACCGTTGGTCCCGCTTTCATTGTGTATGTGCGTTTTAATTATCCTTAATAAAAATATTTATCATTTTAGACTTGTATCTAAGAAGATATTGCAAATAAAAAAAAAGTCTCACAAAAGAGGGACTGTCGGTTACAAATATAATCGAATCATTTGGTTAATATGTTTGTATAAAAACGAATAAAGCTGATGCTTTCGTCGTATTGCTGTCAATATAATGATGTTAACACATCATTTACATAAAATGCATTTTAGCTCTCAAGTGTTTGTTTCGCAGCGGGATGACTTCAATGACGTTGCAGGAAGTCCAGATAGGGACTGAACTGAGACTAGTGGACATGACCACAGACCTCCCTGTCACTGTCGTTGAGCTTGGTGCAGAGGTCTACCTCCAGGTGGTTTACAACCCTCAGACTTCGGACAGTAACGGTACAATCTTATCCTACGAGAATACAAATTTTTAAACTAATCATTTGGCCTATTCCGATCTTGATTCGTTTTGTTTGGTAATGTTAGTGTGTGGTAATGACCAATTCTTATTTTGACCGTTGCAGCGTATGACTCCTGTGGAACATCGTTTTGGGTAGCATTTGATCTTAAGTCTCCGAGTGCGTCACGATCGCATGAATTATATATTATTAGCGCAAATTCACTGAAGTCAAAGGTCTCTTTCTGGAACACTAGCACGAGTCAGGTAATGGAGTCCATCACGGTGGACGCATTGTCAGCAGTAAGTGTATCTCTTTCTGCTAGCGCTGCAGGAACTCCTGTGCACGTTACGTCGACAGAGAAAATTTATATCATGGCGTACAGTTCCGGGCCGGAAAGTAGGTCACTACAAATAATTTACCCTTCGGATACACTAGGATACGTGTACCATTTGGTATCTTCCGATGTTAATAATTTTGCGATAGTAATTGCCACAGAAGATCAGACTTCAGTCAACATTACATCAACATATTTCTCTATGTCCATTGATGGCATTACAATAACGGCAGGAGACACAGCAAATCGTAACTTGCAAGCTTTCGAAATTTTGCAGATCAATAGTAGTATAAACCTGAGGGGCAGCGTAATCTCAGCGTCCAAACCTGTGTCGGTCTTTACAGGGTTTGAAAATCAAAACAAATTTGGAATTCAACAATTACTGAGTAGGGAAAAGATGGGAACAGCCTTTGTACTACCTGTTGGGACAGGTGTGGTTAAATGTGTCGCTTCTCAGTCGGGCACAACTACTGTGCGGTTTGTATCAAGCTTATCGGGGTCTTTAGATAACTCTACTCAGCTTAACCAGTATGAACAAGTAACGTTGAATGCAGAAAGTGAACATTTTATTGAACTGAAAGCTGATGGAGCAGTGACGTGTCTAAAGTATTACGGAGAAGACACTATAGCTTTGATACCGCCTCTTCAACAATGGTCGACCTCTTATACTTTGAATGTTAACAATACCGACATCGGATTTTCATCTGTGTATATCGTGACCACGAATGGAACTGAAACTGGTTTAAGAATAAATCAAGAGATGTTTACAGCTCCCACAACAGCAGTTTACCATCTTCACTCAGGTAAAAGTTCTGACGAAGATTCAGGGCATGTTCGTTTTCAGTAATTGTTAAACAGGTAATGTGTTAAAGTATTGGAAATAAACATATACTATTAAGAAGAGTAAGAAACCAAACATCGAAATAATTCAGTCAAATTGTGATCAATTAAGGAATCCTAGGTATTCAACTCAAACGAAATACAAAAATGATGATTGCATTGTTTCCCCTGAATACCATATTTCATACGTTTGTCAAAAATGCCTTTCCATTTTTTCATACTGATAACATACTCATGATATAATCGTGTATCCTTGGACTGCCTATTGATAGTTTTGTTCTATTCCTCAATACATATTTAGAACTTGTATAAAGATATTTCGTCAGCGTATTTACTTAGTACCCCCTCCCCGCTTTCGTTCTGATCATTTGGTTATTACGCTACAAACATTATGATATTCTAGAATAAGACTCATGTCATTTTGTATGAATTCTTTGCGTCTCTAGGCTCGGACGCTATCGACTTGATATCGATGATTGTCAGACTTCCATCAGATGTAAAGCTGCCTGTGACATTATCCCATCCGTCTCAGCCTTTCCTGGCCCTATTAGTACTAGATAATGGCACTGACAAAGTTGCCGCCACAGCCCTCCCAGGGATTCACATTGCAGACCTGTTCGTCAATAGTGATGTAAGGCACAAGACATAAAACGTGTAGCCACCAGTGGTAATGTTTTTAAGACCATTTGATTCAAATTGATGTAAGCATGTAGACGTTATCGAACAGTATGTCCTACCCACTCTTCTGTTGTTTCCTTTTTATTTTACTGAGAATTTTAAAACGAATTTCAATTGGATCGACTACACCGGGTTTTTAAAGTTCATTATTAGTTTACTCGTTTGTTACTTTTACAATATCGTCAGTGTGTGGTTTTGATGCCAGTTATAACTATGACGTATGTTCGTTTTATTTTCTCTAGCCTTCATGTGTCAAGACATCCGGGCACAGAGGAGATTTGGTAGATAATGACTGTGATGGTTGGGTGGATGAAGATACCGATTTAGATACTGGTGAATATCAACAACAATTAACGGAAAGATACTTGCAACAAGAGAATACATATCATAAATGAATGGCGGTTTATTGTTTAATATGGTACCTTTGTTTCTGATTATAACAATAAGAATAGCATCATCATGATTCTGCTAAATGTAGTAAATACTCTACAAACTAACGTAATAATTAAGTGCTATAATATTTTGAGTTCTTTTTCCAGATAATTTCTTCCCTGATTTGCCGGCCACTCTAATTGGTAATATAGCTTAATTTAGCTAAATAATTTACATTCAACATTGAAACACAAAGCTAAATACAAAGGAAGACAATAATGATTTCTATGCCATTGTTCACATCACAGATACAGTTTTATCATTGATGTTTTTACAGCATCCAAATGTAAATTCACTCATTTATTTCTGAGAATTCACCAAGAAAGAATGTTCGCGTTGTGTCGATTTTGCATCAAGTACTGATCCTATGGAGTGACATTTTAAAAGGATATTATACTTGATTAAACTATATTCTCAAATGCTAGGATTATCGAAGAACACCTGTTTGCTCTGATGTAGATAATCTTCATCCGGTACGGGTGAGACCTAGGGATTGTGTTGCCAAGCCTAACAAAGCCTGGGATGACGGAGGCATAGCAAAGATGGTCATTCTCGAATCGGGGTATTTAACGTCGCCATTGATTACATGAGTTTTGAATTCATTTTCATTTCACATAAACTTCGATGAATTTCTATGAATAAACGTTCTCTATTCATATTAATCGCTACAATAGTCAGGTGATAAAAAGTAATCCATTTTCACATTGTTTAGATGCTTACCTACCGGGAATGACGCATCGCCGTTCACTCCGTCTTCAACATTTAACCTGACCAGTGACACTACCAAATTTCCAGCTGTTTATAATACCGGAAGTTTCTACATGCCTCGATATGAAAACAAAGCCGATGTGTACCTTAGATGTAGATTGGATTTATGCTTTCGATTAGATGACACATCATGTACAACGGTATTATGGTTATTATATATATATATCTTATCAATTAAAAGGTATATAGTTAGAATTTTCCTTACTATGTATCGTATGTCACAGCAAACTCACTGATCGTGTGTTGTCACCGATTAAACAGAATGAAATCTCGCTTGATATTTGATATCCACAATAACATATAAATATCTTCAGTATCATATCTAATGTCGTATTTTGTACTACATGTTAATAAATGAAATTATCCAATAGAACATATCTTGCAGGATATATGTCAGGTGCGGAAACGTCGAAACGCAGACACCAGTGAAGACTCAGCTGTCATAGGACTACATGTTACCGTCATAGGGAAACAGTCAGGACAACTTCAGAGTTCACAAGGTAAGGACGACCCTCTACTGTTATATAGGTCTTATATCCGAAGGGCAGCTGTCTGTGTGCTAGCTATGCATAGTTTTCAATACCATATGAGAAAATAACACTGGTTTTCTGTACTTTCGAATTTGGGATGGGATTTGCAATTATCCTAACAGAAAATGTACCATGTAGTGTTTTCCTTTCTCTTTCGAACCCCTGAAAGTGTGTGTTCCACTGTTTGTCATGTTTGATTACTGTAAGCAAACAATTATTTCAGAAACAAACGAATGAAAATAATAATAAAAAAAAAAAAAAAAAAAAATCCCACAAAGTTCCGCAGTTTTTATAGTTTAACATATAATTTTAAATACACTGTTACATTAGTGATATAAAACCAACAAAGTATTTACTGACATGTCAAAGGAATCTGACTTCAAAATCGATTTAATTGTGGGAAATGATGGCAGAGCAGGAACAAAAGATACACATACATGAAAATCCATACAGTTTAAGGAAGATAGATAGATTGCGATACTCTATGAATATGTTTTTGCAATTTATTTGGAGTTTTTGTTGTAGATCACACTCTGGCAGCTGAGGAATATTGCATTGAAGATCATGGCTTTTTAGGGGTGGTCGGTGTTCTTGGCTTCCTCGTGTTAGTGGCACTTAGTGTAACGTCATATCTCTATTGTCGAGTTAGGAGGACATTTACTCGGAATCATTTTTAGGGTTGCTCGTTACACATTATCATCATTAGAAACTCTTTTTCCCAATAATATGAGCTTTTTCACTTACACATCAGCTGCTATTTATTTATGAAACTTGCTAGGAAGAAGTGGTAAACAAGAATATGTGCTTGTAATAGTCGCAAGTAAAGGTAACATCAAGAGTTGTTCATCGCTAGAATATTGCATTAAGTAGAGTAATAAATGCAGTGGATAGTAGAATTTGACTGATCTATGAAAACCATAGAACAGCGTCAACAAAACCAATGTATACGGCGACAATATATGCATTTTTGCAATAGATAATTTCCATGTAAACGATATCATTTAACAGTCACAAATATACTATTCTATAATTTCAATGCTATCACTATGTATGTTTTTTTCTTGATATCTCTTAATCAAAGCCGCAATTATCTTGTTTGAAGTGTAACAGTTACAATTAGAAAAAAAATAGCAATTTGTACTGATATATAAAAAGTAACAAAAGCTTGCAACGTGTACATACACATTGTGCAACTATGATTATTATTATGCTTTGCTGCCAGTTTGAGATATCTTACTTTATCAAGTTTGTACTAGATACGTCAGCTTAAGAGCAAAATGTTTAGTAATTTAATAAACGTGTATGGTAATTTCACATAAAAATATGCTATCATATGTTACAATACAAATACAGGTATGCATTTTTCCCAATAGAAAGAAATACGTAACAACAAGAATAAAACATTGCATTCTGTAATGTTATATTTATGAAAATAAAAGATGTTGACGAATAGTTTGTGTGTTACGTGTCAGTGTTATAGACAACGATGGATACTGATTATCAGGTTCTAATAAAACATTTATTTAACAAGACATCAACAAAATTATATTTCAGCAAAAGTGTACAACAACATCGTGTATTTTGATCTTAAATGTTTTAAGGTTGATTTAAAAGTAAGAGGATGGCGTGCCGGTATTAATTCTGGGATATATGACCATCGGCATTTTAATTTCCCGTGCATGTCCTTGGCCTTTCAGCTTTCTCAAAAGGTAAGCAATTAAGAGACCATCAAGGATCAGAATAATGAAAACGGTTCCAGCAACTGAAGCGAACATCCACGTCAAAAAGCAGTTATATGTCCCTTCAGGAGCTAAAACAAATAATGAAAATTAAGTCAAACATATAATTTGTAAGTAAGTATTAAACCTGTATTATCCAAATAACAGGAGGTTCATAGGTCTTTACGGTTGCCTGTGTTGAATTTTTATATTTTACAAATGACAAGCACAAACTTATCCCAACTGCTTTACCCAATATCTAGCATACAAATTAAAGTTATAGATTTTTGTTTTAGCAAGAGCTGATTAAAAGGACATTACAGAAATTTGAACAAATTTAACTCTTAGGGGGCGGCGATGTCGTTCTTAAAACATAGAGCATCATTGACAATGAAATTCAAACTTTCATTCCACCGTACTACATATCCGAAATCAGACTTCTGCTTCTTTCGGTTATTGAAAATTTAAGATATTTGACACGTGAACCTTGGAATATGGGTCAAGGTCATTCGTTTGAAGTAACTTGTTAGCCCTTCATCCCAGCATGCTTCAGGCCCAATATCAGATCTCAGGGGTGTTTTGGTTATTGATAAAAGTAAAAAGATGTAGATTGTTTACAACAGACTCACGACGCATGACGGACAACAGATGACGCACGACGACGTACAAAAAGGCGATCGCAATAGGTCACTTTAGACTTTGTCTTAGGCGAGAGGCAAGAATGATAGAAGCAACAAGAAGGTAGCAACTACAACGCACTAAATACGAAGTTGCATACACTAGACTTATTACCATAGTAAAACCCGTTATCTATGGTTATACATTGCGTACAGAAGTATGAAAATGATACGTAAAACGTCGTCGTTATAGATATTTAATCACACACATGTCCAGCTGTATGCTTTATGATATATATATATCTAAATAGAGATACCTGTGCTGTTCGTATCAGAATTTAACTGCGAGTTCGGGTACACGTTGATTTTGGTACTTGCACGGACTTCAACCACTCCATCGGCAGATCGCTTCTTTCGAGACGTGCACATGTTCTACAAGATATGATGCAACATATTGATATCGGTCTAGTAGATTTACGAAGTAAGACTACATGTTCCTTCTTGAGTTCTAGTTTGTATGAAAATTTAAGAAATGAGAATTTGATAAGTGTTACCTACTATTAGGATCTTTGAAAGTATACCCGCCGAACAGTTATTTTGTGTTCATGTGTAACACAGAAATTTACACACAATTGTTTGGGACAATCTTACGCAAGAACAGGAATCCTATATTTCAATGTGTTAAGATTCCATCTTTAATTGTGTAGAGTCAGTTTACCTAATAACGAAACAATTTGCTTCAAAACGATAATTATGTCTCACTTTGTTCAAACTAGGTGCTCTAAAACAACAATGTTATGTTTAATTGTGTAATGAGTACCTATATAACAACAGAAATCCTTGTTTCGATTTGTTAAGCAGGTGAATGATGGTATAAATTCTACCCGCTTTCAGAATGTAACACATGTATCTTGTTAATTCTACGTACCGTAAAACAAGAATCCGATAAAGAAGTACAGTATTCAATGGTTACTATGAAATTTAATTCAAAGGAGTCTGCAAATCTTCCTATTTCAAATACTGGGGATAATGCCACAAAAGGCGATGATCCGTTTGACTCTGTGATAAAAGGTCCTGATAGTGATAATGCCTTTTCTGTATAGTTTACTGCACACCTGAAATAAAACGCTGACAAGTCAACGGATGAAATAATATTCAAGAATGGGAATCGTATGGAAAGCTTACATAAACAATTTGGCGTTATGATTGAAATAGTTTGAATCAAGGTACAGACAGGATTATTGCTCACACTGGAATTATTCAAACGTTACCAAAATCTTTATATATGGTAGCTATTTTCAGGTACTATGGGAGGAAATAAATTTGTAAAATAGATTATATTATTTCAACTCAGAGGTGATATTTGATTTGTTACATGGTCATACATTAGACTAATGTAATCCGTAATGCCATACCCATTGTCGTCTATGAGAGTTCTCTTTATAGGCGCGAATGTATCTGAAGGTGAACAGATGAGATTTTTAAGTTGAACCCCCAGGACATCTATGCTTTCTGAAAAAAAAGCATAACAAAACACTTTAAAGGAAGTATTGTAAACTTTCAGTTATTTATTTCTGAAATCATTTCCCAAACAAACAAGTATTTACTGCAGCGTCCAGTTCTATTTGGTCCCGGATATATATTTTATTTATCAGACCAAGAATATATTCACATACATTTTATTTTTAAAATACACAAACTGTGCGTGAATGTGAAGGGCATTCGAGAAAATTCCGGTAACAACCTTAGCTGCTAGTCGGTTAATTAACTCATATTTGCATAAATTTGGCATGTTCATATTTATATGGGTGTTGTGATATCAATACATAAAGTTTTGTGTTAATTGTGATAATGTGTCCATGAAATCGAAGGTCATGTCAAGTTTTTGGTTTTGTTTTTTAATAAAAAATCCAGTATCATAGAGATATGAAAACAAGTACAGCGCAGTTTATATCAATGAGTATGCGTGTCGTCCGAAAGTCTCTAAAGAAATCATTATCCAGTGATTAGATATAGTTAGAACGATCAATTATGTTTTTTCATTTCGTCCTTTGAGAGATATCAACAATAGGCTGAAGTTTTCAATATCAAACACGGTAACTATAGCCTTACAGTTATCAGAACTGAAGAAGGTGGACCATCTTTACAGGAAACAAATAATGCGATAATTTCCACCATTCAGCATACTTTATAACGTGCTTACCGACTGCACTGGTGTATGTCATTGTGAACTTAAATCGGACCAGATCTCCAAGATTAGCTAAAAATACAGGAATATTTGTATCACTTGCTGTGACAACCTGTAGTTCTGCCGACCGCGAGGAGGTTAGATTTAAAAGGTCTACACTTCTGAAATAAACGTCATAACACATCGTCAAGTTAGTTAGGATGACATTCAGATCAATTCAATATGTCAGTAAAATTAAAAAAACCAAAAGAAAAAAAACTTAATTATCAATTAAGCATTCCCCATTTTCAATTTTGATACATTTATATGCTTAACAATTCTATACATCTATCTGTTACAACTTTACAAATTTAGAACTGATAATAACAAAATAATGCCTCCGTGCCTTTGGAGTTACTTAAACATCACAATCAATATTAGTTTACATTTCTGATTCAGTTTACAGTGATTACCAGTTGTCTGATATCTCCAACACATCAAAGTCAAACACGAACTGAAGATGTAACAACGGTCGTTAAGACAGGTAATTGTCAAATCTAACGAACAAGATCCATACCTTTGGAAGTTACTAAACTTACCCAACACTTATGTCGGAAGATGTCGCCCATTGACTGATACTTTTTGTCGGATGACATTTGAAATAATAAATTCTATCAGTGTAGGACACTAGACCACTGCTTGCCTCGGAGCGTATTTCGACTTGGTAAAATCCATCTGATTCCTGAAACAACGGATAACGTGAAGGAATAAAACTGTATAATGTAATTTTCATATATACTACGTGATAAGTCAGCACAAAATTAAGGCAGCTTTAAACCATAATGAATTCCAAATCATGCTTTATCATGGTTTGGTTATTCGTTCTGTAAAATACAGTATTTTTTAAATACAAAAATCAGTAATAAACATTTGGTTTCCATATTTCGAAAAAAATGAGGGACACCGATATTTCTTTCAAATGTTTATAACACTTTATCAGATTCTTTTTACTTACAATCACCATTCCACATGGGGAGGAAGGATATGTTTGTGTTCCATCGCTGATGGAAAACGTCATACGAATGCTATAAGTCTGTCCACCATCCTGGCTAGATCCTGCGCAGTTTGGAAAACCATTTGCATACACTGACGTAACGATATCAGTGTTCCTGTCCAGTATAAAATCTATATGTATAACACTACTGTTTTGCTGATCTTCCAAACACAAGTAACTGGCTGTTGAAAGACAAAATAAGTTGTCAGCGAATAATGCACTCGTTATAAATATTCATAAACGCACGTCATGATGTCTTTGATATCGTTAAAGTGTATTGTAAAGTCATAATCATTCTGTTTGTTCTGACAATTAGTGATCCTAACAATTATAAGGACAACGAAGACATTTTCAGTTTGTCAACGGAATCATAATCCAACCACCAAATTCAAATTCAACACAACTCGAGCTAAATATCAACACAAGAAATATTTACACTAAGGCGCCTAAACACGTACAAGGAGAATAAGACCAGGAAAATCGACGACACCTGCCATGTAAATATTGGTAAATAGAAGTGAATTATGACTAATTCCCAATTGAGACCACGGTAAAAAACAACTGAGTCAATAGTCACAAGCATCAAACAGGTCCAACACCATTTCGCATTAATCTTCCCCATCATCGAAACTCTGTGTTGTGAGTTTGTCTATCAATTGCCGGGTTGTTGCTCTTCAGAAAAGGAAAGGAACTCGAAACCATTATGTTTATTTAACAGCTTGTTAAAAAGTTATCGATGTTGATTTCGTTGTAGGAAAAGTCGAGGCCAGTAGCCGACACATATATGATGGACATAATCAATACATTTCTTGAAACCAGCAATTTATCTGAATTTGAAAGATATCGGAAAGTCTTCGTGGCCAATTTTGACTCCATAAATCAATGGTATAAAGGCAAAATTAATCAGTCAAAAGAGTGAACACACCTTGTCCGCATTGGTATCCCTATGGTCTGTTTGGAGACATCCTATCATTATAACAATATTGCCTAATATAGTGTTTGGATTTGATTTGAAGCTCATTTCTGAACACGGATATTACACAAAAAAATTAATCAAGCGTCATATGATATTATCAGGAACGTGTAAAATATTGTTGGCATAATCACAGAGTATTCTGTAAATCGATTCACTCAATTTTCATTCCTTTTCATTTAAATGGGTCCTCTGCTTATAGACCAGTATGAACAAAATATTAGTTGTAAAAGATAAATGCAACACAAAGCCGGGAGTCCTAAACATTATTCGACAATATATAAAAATAACATGAAACGCGATTTCAGGTATGGAATATATATTTGTCAGTATGCAAAGTAATACATATGCTACATCTTAGTCGCTATAACATCATTTAAAAATGGCTGAATGTAGGATTGCATATTTGCTTGCTACTCGCTGATTACACCATGCCACTACACTCCCTGGTGATATTTTACCCTGTTTTTATCAATATAATACAGCTGATATTATTCCAAAATGATAATAAAGAAATGTTTACAGTCAATTTTACATGCTCGATATGCCACTTCATGCCCAAAAGAAAATAAACTTAAATTATTATTTATTTTTGTATTTTAATATATCTCACATAAAAATGGAAATGATAAAATCAAAATTGTAAGAAAATGTAGGAATTACTGACGAAATGTTAAAGTACACATGGCATACACAAAGACTGCTGGTTTGTATAAAAGGGCGTTTGAAAAATCCGTATATACGTACGTCAATCAACGTCACCATTGACATTTTGTGAAATCAAATATTCATTGGCTATGTCATAACAAAAGTTACTAATATATTCAAATGCCTTTCGAAAGCATATGGATGAGTCATCTATCAACCTCCTCCTTAAGGTATCGTATCAAGTGTACTTTTAAAGTACACGGTACCCTATCAAGTGTACTTTTAAAGTACACGGTACCCTATCAAGTAATAAATAAACTAAATAGCCTAACTATTGATGCTCCTTCATGTAATATTTACTGTAAATAATACCAAATATAAGTCTGTATATAAGTCTATCAAAACAGATGTTTTTCCTCTTGTGATTGATAAACATTAACATATTGCTATATTGAGACACAGCACATTCCCTGATATCCTTACATGAAACTGATTAAACATAGCAGTTGACGAATATATCAGGTTCACGGCATTATCCGTAAAAGAAAACTAAAGCAAGATAAAAATTCAGAAACGTAAACTATATATAACAAATTTGAAACGCTTACTTAAAAAGCCATTAATAAACGACTAAATTTAAATAAAATAATAGCATGCAGTTCACATTACAATTAATGTGAGTTTGTGAAAATGATATATACAATTGCAAATGACCTATAGAACATGCCTCATTCCTTGATTATGGGTGCCTTTTGCAACCGGCAGGTGCATATGGATACGTATGTCATACACTTGGGGCAATTCTATGAGAATTACGCTTAATTTACGCGTATTAGTTTCCATTACTACAAAGTAGTATGCACTCGAGGAACTGTTCGTTCTCTAGAATTTTGATACCTTTAATGGTGTTGTATTTCAAACCTTCATTCACAATTTGACATTGATAAATAGACGCAGAGTTATTTCACACATTTAGTTTTGTTTTTAATATTAAAGTTGCAGTAAATTTTAAATAAAAACCAAATGTTTACATCAACATAGCAGAACAAAACATATAAAACGCAGCAATTTGTTTGAAAAGTATCCTACTACCGGAATGCCGAATCTTGAGATCATGTTAATAAACACTGTGTGGGCTAGTACACAGCTAATTTACCTTTAACATACTGTAATATTTCATACTCTCTTCAGCTGAAGTTGCGAAGTTGAAACTGAGTTGATGCACAAGAGACAAATCGCGACGGAGTCCAGGAAGATATTAATATTCAGCTTTTTAAAGGTTTTGTAAATTTTCTAGGTCTTAAATATTAACTATCAAGATCATCATAAGTGTGTATGCTGTATCCCTCTATGTAGCTAACTTTGGATTTCAGAATAGGAATTATGACGAATACACATAGTTCCTATACTCTTTATTGGAAAACAATGATGCATATTTAAGTTTGCATAAGCATCTTAAGACTAATACCTTAAAAATAAGTCATTTCATTGTTATATTCTATATCACGATATGTACGCAGAGTTTTCGAGCTTATCACATTATTTCTATGTTATAAATGTGATAAGTCATGTTATACTGGTTTGTAATTTGTGACTGTACATTATTGTTAAAAACGTCAGCTTAGATTGTATGTTTCTTTATAATCTGAAGTTACATGACATGCTACTCACGTAGTGAAGTTATCGTTCGGTGTCATTTAGCGTAAACAGAACTCTAGTGATATATTAACAGGGCAAATAAATAAATAGATAAATTAATAAATAAATACACAAAATAAGTTTAGTAAAATATGTTTGAATCAGAATATATGTTAATTTTTGTTCAGTTAATCCACACAAAATTTAAAGAGCTGATTATGTGGTAATAAACTAAGTAAGCAAAGCATAGAAAATGTACTAAAGAAAGACAAAGCCAATCTTACATTTAACACTAATAATTTAATACTACCTGTTTGCGTCGCTTCTTGTGAACTAATAAACTGTATTTGCTGTTAAATATTAAAAATTCAAGATAAAAAATAAATAAAGAAAGAGATCGGTTTAGAATTGATTCACATGTATGTGCAGATAATTGTATTATACATACTGCACAGCGACTTCAAATATATCCATATATTAAACATATATGTAGATCTAGTCTGAAATATTCAGCAAACATAGGCGTATATATTGACGCGATATTGTGACATATAGTACCTAAGTATTTATTTGTAGCTTGTAATAAAATGGTAACACATTTCAAAAAAACGATTCCTCATTTTAGTCGCCCTCACATGTTAGATTGTATTGAATAAAATAGTCAACATGATAATCTTATTAACGTATCCGTATGTAACGTTACGTCATTTCAAACATATATTGGTACAGTTGCTACCCTTTTGGAAAGCATTAAATACATCGAATATTTTCACAATATCCTCGTACAACTGTATATGCTTAAGATGTCCAAAAACTTTGATTAATTTGTGATATAACGAACGATACACATTTTAGTGAATTTTACACTTACCATTATAAGTAGAACAAAGAGATAAAGCCAATGCCCAAACTAAAAAAGGAGATAGGAAAACATATTACAAATTAACGTATAATATCATTATTTATACTAAATTCTAATATCTAATTTGTCTGAAGAAATGTCTGTCAAAAATGTATGTATATCTAATAATTCGATAGGATAATTGGTATCTCAATTATCGAACGCTTAAAACTCTCCTTTACGAATATATTTATACCACCGATCTACATATTGATTTATGATGTACATGGCTATGTGGATTTCGAATATTCAAACTATTATCAATATTTATAAATTCAAATCGCGATTTTCGAATACTAAGTAACTAAATGACTAAGAACTGTTGCAATGTAATCAAGATGAGAGTTATCTGTATTTTAAATTGATTTCGAGTGCACCAACATTGGTGGAACTTAAAGACAACAGACCTGGGTGTTACAATTATATTGTACAGAAAATTTGAATGTATAGCAAGTGTCACATGTGTTTTATCTGACATGTGTTAATCCGACAAAAACGTCCTGTAATCTAGAGTTTGTTTTTTTTCATAAGTTTCGTTTTACAGTTTTGTGAATTCTTTTTAAATGTATGATTATGTGATTTACCTTCATTGTTAATGTAATTTTCTTTTTAGTCATATTTTGATTATTACACGGAGGGAGTTTATCAATACAATATCGAAGAATGCATGACTCTCAAGTCTAATAGTGTAGAAATTTGAATACGGTACGAATCAAGTTCATTTTATCATTTAGCTCAATTGTCTGTGCATGTTTGAATATGTGCGGAACAGTTAAAAAATATATTGTTATTTTGTTTGAAGCTATACTGCGCTTCATAAACTGACAGAGTTTGGACTGTCCTTTCATTCACTGAGTTTGTGATTGAATCCTTGAATCATCTTTGAATCTTGCATGGTAAATTTTTTTGTTTTGTTTTTTTTTTTTTTTGTTTTCCTTCGAATGATATTTTGAGTCGAATCTATGTGTTTTGGTTGCAGTAAGTAAATGTAGGCTCTGATATTTAGTCTGACCTTCTGCGGATCTAGTCAGACACAGCGTCGATTATCTTGAGTTTAATAAAGTGCAGACTATGTCTAGTTGTTGATCGAAAGTAAGTCTTCAGATTATTTTTTAGTCTTACATAGGTCGGATGTTTTTTAAGTCTTACATTTTGCGCATTGATATTAAGTGCAACAAAATGAAGACTTATATTGATACTGTCAGGTAGCGGGTGATTAACTCTGTCCTGAATGTTAATCGATCTAGGATCGTTAATGTTGACAGTTTGCAGTTTGTTGTTTACTCCGAAAGAGTGTAGATTATTTTAATGTCTAAGAGTGTGAATTGATGATAAAATATAATAACAATGTATGGAAGGATTGACAGAAATCTCACAATGAGTGTACTTCATAAAGCAATACCTGCATCGCTGGCATATATATGAACAGTGTACATATTCATAAATGAGGGTTTTAAACGTCCGATTTGCGGGTGTCAATTAAACTACCGTATTATAAAATATATTCACTTTTCAGACATTTCTTGAGAGAGTCTATCCTACTCTATACCATCCTTGTATAAAAGATAAGATGTCGCTCAATAAAATCCACGATTCTCCTATAAAGTCATTTAATGGTGTATTGTAAGGATGATTTATGCATTCGTTTATTTGATTGTTTGTTAACCTGACCGCAACTTAGCATTGTAATAATGACATTTTGTAATGTCATTTTATCACGTTTTGAGATTTATGTATATTGTTCCCTTTGGATTTTATAGAGATGGTTACCGGGTACTGCGTTATTAAATACGATACCTACCAAAATGTCGAGTCAAATTACTGCCATAGTGTTGTAACAAAAAATGCCACACAGGTTTCTCCTATATCATTGGATTACGAATAGCTTGACAAACCCTGAGAATTAACTTTAATTTCCTGTATAATACTTTTATAATGATATGACTTAGCACTATTTAATGTAATGTCATCTATTTGTCATCTTTTTGACTTCCAATTAATTATCGTCATACTGCTTCATAACGTTTATCGTGTTAAACATTTGAAACATAAGAAACATATTTAAACATATTAAACTATCTTCAAGACTCACATTGAAGCTAGCTCGTGATATTTTATGAAACGAGAAAACTTTGATGGGTGTATATGATGAATTTTATATGTTGTAAAAACAAGAAGAAAGTACAGCAATAATAAATTATCGAAAACCTTGGTTCAAACTGAAAAAAATCGATGAGACAATTTCAAGGAAAATTTACATGATGAACCTTTAGAAAAGTACAAGGAAAGCAAAACCAGATACTCCGGAAGGGTAAGCATATTCTTCTTCATTAGGGAAACCCACCAAGCAAATCTAGGAAAATCAAATGAAGTTAAAAACAACGTCACTACCAGGACTATTAACGAGCATCTAACATTCTTACTTTATATTAGAAAGAGTACTTCACAATGAGAACACGGTAGGATTTTCAAGTTTCCCAAAATATCAACTATGTAATGAGGTTCTGATAAGATTAATGAACTAGGATAACATTGAAAATAAAGAAGAATTGGCTTGTAACAATTCACTTTCAAATCCATCGTGTATTAAAGCAGGGCTAGATATAAGAAAAAAGATATGTTTAATCCCAGATAAGGGACTTTTTTTGAGTGATTCAGTATATGAAAAAAATGTCCTATTTGTTTTGTGTGTTATTCATGGAACTGTGAACAGGAAGGTATTTGGCATTAACGTGAACTTTTAAAAATCTTAGACACCGACATCGTATATGTCACACCCTTTCAATAAGTGAAAATGGTAGTTATAAGTTTAATATAATTTGAGAAAATGTTTTACCGAGAACAAAGAAAATAACGTGTTCAAGGGAAACAAACTTCGGTAGGAGTATGATACTGAGGGACATATACTTTGTATGTCGATATTGTGATAGTCGTGGTGTTGTTTTAAATATCAAAATAAACCATTGATATGTTTAATTGAAGAAACGTGTCACTACATGAACTGTAAATAAATATAAATAATGAACTGGGCAATTTATGTCGGAAATGAGACTCGATCGAATACTTTTGATCATTTACATAGATTTCAATTTTAATTTCCCATTTGTAGAAGTATTCTTGAGAAACCTAAACTCTGGCTACTACTTTTGCAGTTAAGACAGAAAAAAGTTCCAGCTGTACTTCTAATTAATCTATAGAATTAAATTTCCATTAAAAATCCATTACGGCGCAGAAAACGTTTCAATAAAACATGAATAAAGTTGTCACATTTCGTTATTTATTTTACTGAGTATATAAAATGATAAATGGCATTTTGATTTGATCTTAAGTGCTTCAGATTAGAACTGATCTTGTGTGGTCTTCTTAAAACTGCATACAAACAAAATCATCTATACCAATCCACCTAGCAATCAAATGTAGATAAAGGTATGGATTTAAATAGTTAAATGGGTTATAATATGTTTAAAGCAGGTAAGTTATCGTATGTTTTGTTGTATTAGAACGATAAAAAATCTTTTTGCAAAATAATAATATAAATTTCACTTAACATCCGTCAAAGTAATGAGACTGAGTCAACTAACCCCATTTACTTCTCACGGTTACAATGATGTATGTCATTTACGAGGAATGGTGTCAATCCGTGTTATCAACGACATACAATATAAGAAAACGAGTGGTAAATGGCGAACTGTATATAAAAAAATTAAATGAATTTGAAACGGTGAAAATTGATGTAAAACGACTCATTTACCAACAAGGAGATTATATTTGATATTAAGTGTTGAAAATGAAATTTGAAAAAATGAATACAAATAAAATAAACATTTTAACTTCGTTGTCACATTGATTTTATATGAATCGATGCCGATGTTTTAATAAAGCATTTACCACGATTTTGGGCTCCAGTTTGAATTTTCCAGTCCCAAATCAAAGTTCCAAATTTTAAAGTAAATAAATTGTCTATAAACTGTGCATCGAGAAATTTTCTAGTTCAATATCTTGAGGTGATTTGAATAAAAGTTCCTTTAATAGCTTTCTTGTTTTAATTATTTATTGACAAGACGAGTTAGGTATATACTTGTACATTTGGTGTAAGTCTATTGATTTCAATTTGATTCGAAAGATCGTATTTATGGAAGTTAAATATCCACTCAGTGATACAACATTACTGGTTCAATTTCTATTGAAAAGAACAATGATGGTTTCTTCAGAAACAATTCGACCTCATTAAAGCCAGTATCTTCAAACAAAATTGGATTTATTATTTTTTTCATTTATCATTAGCAATGCTTCCTAATATCATGATTATTGATTAAACTTGTCTGGAATACTATAAAGTGTAATTAACAGGTGACAAAATATTTTACACCGTTTTCCCACTTTGATTTCGTTTTTTTAAATTATCTAAACAAGTTCCTTACAGATTGTATATTTCTTGCTGTTATTTTCGTATAAAGTATGTATTATAAGTATTTATTGAATTAGACAAAATATTTCAAGTCACATGTAGATAATATCAATGTAGGATTCTTTCTGTCAAATTAATAGAAATTTCAGTTTAAACGGAATTGCTCCGGTTACCATCAGTTCGCTCATATCTGATTGAATCCGTCCGATTTGACATGACTTTACACACCGTAGAAGCATACAAGGTCACCATCATTAAGAGTACGCATTTCTTTCTTCAATTAAATCGTTTTGTTGTTTTTTTCCTCATCAACATTGGTAGAATTATTAAATATAGAAAAGAATAACTGGATCTTTCCAGAAAATAGTTCATACAACTGTGTTTATATATGATATAATCAGTGTTTTAGAATGTACTAAAACAGTTATAACTGTATCATTTAACTTTGCACTTTGGAAAAATTCTATTTGAGGATTTAAGAGGTTTGACTTTCAAAGTTTAGTCAAATGTTTCCGTGCGATATCTGGAGAAATTCTAAACCAAGTACTGAATCTATCGTGCTTGTTCATCTGGTATGTAGTATCATCTGTCTTACAGATTTACACGATAAAATTAATTAAAGTAACTTCATGGAATGAATTATATTATATCATCACTTTTGTGAGTTTTCAGTTTACTACATTCTTGTGTAACAATGAAGTATAATAATATTAGATTATATTGCTAGGGCTCGAGACTCTTTTATTGAATAAGTCCCATAATATCGACCTTACCCTGTATCATTAAAAACATCAATAAACTTCACTGACAGTGAAGTATTGATGTATGAAGACTAACGCCCTCGTGATGTAAATATGATAAAGAAAAATTTCCCACATAAAACATTCCCACACTTGCCCTTGACTGCATCGTCTTATGGTTTAGAACCATGCACAGTCACGACATAGCATTAGTTTAGTGAAGTAATATATTCAATTAAGGGAATATTTGACAAATTAAACTATAGACTTACCTCTTTTCCCATATCGCCTAAGTTTTCCTATAAATTCCCCGAAGTCAACAGGTGAGAGATTTGATTCTCCCTGGTATTACACACGGAGCTACGGGTACATATATGTAAATTGTGTTCGGGGAGACGGTATCTGATGTGAACTTGTCTTATTATAGTCTATTATACATCAGGAATATTTGTCCCGCCCATACGACAGTGTTGGTTACGCCCATTTTGCTAAGTTTTGACGTAGAGCAATCAAATTAGAGAAAAAGATTTAACATTTATCATGGGGCTTATTTAAACACGTGTCAATGATATCAAATCATGTACCGTCACTACGATAACATCGTCCTTTAGTGGTATTCATTAGATTGAAACCTTGACATTTGTTTCAATAAATCTACATAGTCAAATGCAGATATGCTATCCTCCATTTATCATAAGATAAAGAAGTTGATTAGCGTATGTAACTCTTGGTGATATTTTAGGCGTGTTGCAGTCAATCAACAAAATTCTTCCTTAAATAAAAACAGTGTAGACAATATTTGACTAATGTTAGTATTTTAAATGAAACAGAAAGTATAAGAAATAAAATTATGCAACTTTCGTGAAACGAGAGCTGTCTAAATAACAAGGAAACAGCTGTTGAATTAACAGGCATTGAACACATCAAGCAGTATTTTTCGAAAGTTTTACACTTTGAATGATTAGGGACGTATGCTGTTTATTCAGTCAAAGTGTAAGACTTTTAATATATTGAAACAGATCTTTAAAGAATATCTGAAATTTATTTTATTTGTTTTTGTTCTTGGGATAGAAATTACTTATTGTAATCCTACACTTGGTTTTGGGATCATACCGAGACCGGCTACCCTTGTGATCGACGATTTAGAAAAGAGAACGCAACGTACTAGACATGAAAACATTAAAGGACACGCCTTGGTCATGGAAACTGTATACCGCCACAAGAATAAATTTTGCGATTTCTAGTTATCAAAGTAAAGGTGTATGACAAGTAAATATAATGAGAAATTGAAATTGAAGGACTTGGTAAAGTTTTGCTGAAAAAAGAACTAACCTACGAGTGAGATACACTAGAGACAAGTTTACATCCATAGGTATGCCAAAAGTCTGTAAGAAAAAGTTGTCATCTGCCACCAAATCAGATATATGATATCAATTAGAACTCCAAACATTCTCAATACCTTAGCATTGGTATATCCGTCTTTCGATAGGATGTGTTTCTAAACAAATTGTTTCGGTTAATTCACAACTAGTTCCATATATCGCATTCTTTCATAAAATAACTCTAATTTCAAAAGAACAAAGGTAATCCTTTAGCTCTTACTTGTTATTGGGGCGCACAGTAGTGTATAAAAACTGTTTTAATGAATATTTAGAAGCTATGTAATGATTTTTAGAATCATAGTGTGACAATGAGACAAATACAAAAGGTTCATATTTTAATTTGGTCCTGTTCTTGATTAGTTAGTGATAATGTTAACTTACCATTTTCAGCAGCCACTATAAAGACTAAAAGCAGAAAAAACACACAATAAATGCTGAGATTTCTCGAGAATAGAGAAAAAAAATCCAGAAAAAAACACACACATACACCCCCCCCCACACACACCCACACACACCCACACATCCTCACACATCCACACCCACCCCCATCCCGACCCCACACACACCACTGTTTGCTACACGGACGGTATTTCTTTTTTTACTTTTCAGATCATATTTCATAAAACGTATTTAAAATTTCTGTATGTAAAGAGTTATTTATTTATTATGCATCTAGATGAGTTGGTGTTCACATGCATCACTATAGCAAATTGAATGCAAAATAATTTATTTTGAACGGCTGATATATATGATATTCGTATACTATCTATGTCCACCCATCCTTCATTCATATAAAAGTATGTTGTTCATTCAGTATAGATTGCCATATGGCGGCTGTAGTTACCTCCCCTGCACTTTGCTGTTGCGGACAGACCATTGAAACTATATTAAAGTTTCAGTTACTATATGATTTTCATCATTTCCACAATCCCCTTCCTATCCCTTAACACGAGTTCTGCTTTCTGCTACAATGTTAATGATTGGTGTTGACATGGAATGGAGTCAAACGATCGCAGATGTAACATCACCTTTATGGTGGACGATTTCTTAGGCCATCTATCTTGTCGAAAAGATATCAATTTCTAATCAAGCCATTGAAGCTAGTTCATTTCCCTTCGGACTTGCCACTAGATCTTAGCTTTTAACGTTCATCACGAATTTTGTTAGAATTCTGCTAAATAATCTTCGATAAACGATTTACACTTTATCTTGGATCTGGTGTATTTAGAGTTATTTTCAGTTAAAGTTAATACTCTTATACATTTACCAACGAGAAATATTGGTTTATTTTGTCCTTTCTACGAAATTTCAACGAAAAATATTTTTATACGTTAAAAACGGAATGTTGTAATAATTCTCGTTGATGCTCACTGGGAACCGCAAAACCTCTTCAATGTACAGATTGTGATGTCAAAACATATTTAAGTCGGTTTGTAAGCTGTTTTGTTTCTGAAAATTGTGAATGTTTCTTCATGAGTCAACAAGAACCGAGGTGAGCAATTGTGATGTCTTTTTAGTGAGTAGGTAGGCTAAAACACTATGAAATGGAAGAAAACATATTTTTATACTTTATCATTTAGACAGTGTATGCTTTTATTGATAGTCAGAGTTGTCATATAAGCTGTAGCCTGATCGAGGAGGGTATGATCTATTTTGAGAGGCTTTGTGTTCGGACTAAAAGAAATAGGTTAAAATACCAGGATATTTAATTGTTTCGCGACACTTGCTTCTAGAAAAATTAATTCTAGGTAATGAATTTCAAATAATTAATTCAACACATTTTATTCAGATTTCTTTATTGAGCGTTAAATACCGTATTTGCTGCTTCATTTATATACAGAATATCATATGATACAATTTTTAAGTGTTCTAATGATATTTTTTCATGTGATTTACCATATTAAATTTTCTCCGTTTGTTTTGTCTTTGGTATTTTGATTTACTTTGGCACGAACTTCTATTGATATCAAGTCATAACAATTGTTGATATTAACGTGATAGACATTATGCAAATCACTTTCGAAAAAATAAAGGATTTCAATTAATGGTAAACACAAAAACAAATATGTAAGATAAAAAAAAGTATTACTAATATCCTTGTATTATTGCAAATAAAAAATTGTCAGAGACCTGGTCACGTGTTAATTGTAGCAAACGTGTAAATCAACAAACAAATAATGAACTCAGTATGACATACAGAAATGTAAGCAGTGCCGATAACAAGTAAACATCATAAATAACCCATTATGCCACTCATAGTTTATAAAAATTGAAAGTGTAAACATTGATGATAAAATCAAATAATTCATATAATAGACACATTGTACACATAATATGTAAATATAAATCACCTGTTTAAGATTTCAATAAAAAAAGTTTTCAAGCACTCCATATATTTGAGCAATGAAAAAAAAAACTAAACAAAAGAAAACAAAAGGAAAATAAATTAAGAACCAGGTTGCTTACGTAGATACAAGGTCACATGTGAGCAATCAAAAGAAATGGGATAGGATTTGATGTTAACACCATTTATATAATTAAGGACAGCATTGGTAGAGTAATTAATTATAAACTTCATTTATTTAACAGAAAAAGGGAAACAACACAAAGAATTACTTCGGATATTTATACAGTCATGATTTGTAAAATAACAAAACTTCGCAAGTACCAATCCTTGTATTGTATTTTACTTTTTATCACTTTTCTGTATTTTAGTTTAAAAATAGATACTAAATATAACATATAAACGTATTTGAAATTCTTATAACAATGCGAAATATAACCAAAGCTAAGTAATCCTATTGGAATTACATTTATGGATGTACACTCGTGATACAAACTGAGATCTTAATGATATTATTTAAACATATCTGAATAGAAGGTGTGGATATTACTATTGAATATTAATTGCTTGTATCAATCTACAGGTCTTAAATAAGATTAGAACAATCTAAAATCCCTAAAACGCTAATTTGGTTTTTCGAACTTTTGGATTACAAGATGTGACCATTTTCATCAATTTCATACGAAACAAAAACCGGAATTAATCTGAGATCCTATTTAGGATGGGACCTTCAATTATTCTGACGTCATCAACTTCATAAGAACAAACGCAAAGCATGAATACATTGATTTAACACAAGATAGAAAATAAATAAAAAAACTAATTGGAAAAAACTATATGTGGTTAAAGTCGAAGTATTAGACAAAAAGCATGATTATTGAATGGAGTACATCAGATTTCAAAGATTTTGCTTCGTTTGCGGTAGATATATATTACGTGATTGGACTATGTTGAATTTAGCTAAGAACAATAGAAGTTTCCATTTCTCCTCTCGTTTCATATTTCTTTCAGTGCATTTTAATAAAACAAGCAAAAAACATTGGAGAGAGAGTCAATATATACACACGAGTGCACAATTTTTTGAAATGCAAACATTCTGTCATACCCATTTTGCTGTTTACTTTATGAAGGGTAATTTTGATTAGCGCCACCACTGATAAACTGTTCACAGGCAAATATTGGTTGTCCTGGCAATCACTGATCAATGCATATACAAGCTGCGATGTCCGGATTATTATGTATCAGTTCATACATACGTGTGTAGTGTCTAAGTGTTCATTGATCAGTAATATATACGTCTGTGATGTCCAGTGAATACACGTGTCTCTGGTCTCTAGATAATAATATCTAAGTAATCAATGGTCAATTTGTGTAAACGTTGATTTATTGATGATTTTATAAACCCGTGTGCGGAATCTGGTCAAGTTAGTGACGTGTATGGTATCACGGTAATTCCTGGTCAGTAAATATATATTTATATATGTGGGGCCTTGGTCAGTTTTAACCACGCCGCGGAGTCTATAAAGTCCTGTTCAATTCATGTACACGTCGGTTTATGTAAACCTTAGAGATAGCTAGGTAATCATTATATACATGGGTGTGGAGTCTATGAAATCCTGCTCAATTCATGTAAACGTCAGTGGTGTCCAGATACTCCTTGATCATATTGTAGCAGAACTGGTATTGGTCCTACAATGACAGTTTACAAGATATAAAATCATGAAAATAACATATTATGTCTCCTTAATTGGTAACATCGTATTCATGCATTTAAGCATGTACCTTTTTTTTGGTTTTCTAGATTTCAATAGGAACTCTCAACTTGTAAGCCGTAACAGCAGATGGATGGACGACGTGCTTACGCACGCACGCATGCACATATGAAACATGAGGTGCAACCTTAACATCGAACAAAAGTCTGACTTTCAATTGACATAATGTGCACATAGATTTTACTATACACTTCGATTTTATCCATAATTAATCAAAATATATCGATGAAGTATACTTACAAAATTGACTATAAATTCCGGGCGTCGCACTTGCAGCTGTCGAGTTATCTGAAAAATGTCTACTTCGTCATCGCCTTTCATTTGATCTCTAGCATTGCTGATACAACAGAACAAACCGCTCTGTGAAAAGCCGTCACTGAAACATTAAATATATACACATTAACACGAAATGGAATCAAAGCAACTAATACAAAAGGTAAAGTTGATCTTTTATCCCAATATCAACTCAGTTTATATTCTATTGTTATAAAAATATGTAAAAAGACCGGTCGGTGTGACTTTTACTTAGAGTTGCTTACTGTCTCTGTTACTCCACTGACGAAGCATGCTTCTTTGGCATAAAGACGTGGGTGTGATTCGTGTCGGGGCGCTTGGCAGAAATGGATGTTTCCTTGTTCTTTCCTTGTTCTTTCACAAATATATACTTTCACACTTGATAACAGCAAATATAATTTATTTTCAGCTCAAAGATCAGCTGTCATATTGCCATGATGACAAATGGTCCTCTGGTATTACTATTTCAGAAATGGGTATACAATATCGGAAGCTAACGTACCGACACATGACAGCTGTCGTCTTCGTGTTGTCCGATTTACGTCTACTGTCCACAAGTTCAAGTAGCTGAAGTAGGGCTGACGAATCTTGAGGGACTGAAGACTCTTGTTCCCAACCAGTTAGATGAAACACTCGGACTTTAACATGGAATCCTTTCATCTAAAAACAATACCGACGAGTTTAACCCTTGAACGAGAACTGATATCAGCTTCTACTTCTACATGATTCCACCTAGTACACGCTTACAAAAATTAACGACAATATCCCTATAGGAATGAATTTAAATAGAAAGCATAAATCAAACAGTAATTGATATTTTATTTCCTGTATTTATATTTTCAATTAACTTTACCTCATTTTCAATTGAAATTTCAATCAAATCAACATCAGTAACTGTTGAAGAATTCCCTTTGTGTTCCAGCGTAAATTCCCCAATGGATTTGTCCTTACCCTGTTCAGGAAGCCAGACCTATAAAATCATATTTTATTGAAATACGGTTTCATTATGAATGAATATAGCAAAGCAATAATCATTGGCGATGAATTAAGCAAAAGTAAAAAACATATGATAATGGTAGGAATATGTAGGAAACACATACATACTAGAAAAGAAAAGGACACCCAAAATATTTCTACATCAATTCATATGTAACCGGATTTAAAACTGTATGAAAAGTAACTATCTAACCAATAACATTTGTGTTGTATAACTGACGACAGGTTGCCTAACAGACATTGCTGTTTTGTAGTATGTCACTGATAAAAAATTGAACACGTCAATCTATGTGTTGTTTTGACTCAACGTAGAATTTCATGCGATGTGATTATTACTTGTTTGAACATTAATTTCTTTAATTGAAAAAAATCCCCATTATTTTCACAAAATGTATCAGGAACATGGTATTAATATGCTTACTCAAGTAATCAATTTGTAACGCCTCATAAATATACTTACAATAGTGTCAGTATCTATGATGACAATAGTGGTACAGTCATGGTCCATTATCATTGTCAGCAGATCCACCACGGTGTCTTCCGTAGGAGTCTGAGTGACGATATACCCAGTCTGTGATGTGTAGGACTAGATAAGTGGAACATATAATTATAAATCACTGTTTCCATTAGAATTTGAATATCGACATTTTTGCAAAACTGTTCATAAAAATATGCCGAATTATGCTTATAACTCACGGTTCATAAATTATTTTTGATATTTGAAGTTCATTTTTGCACCTAAATGGAAAAATCCATTTGGGTATATGTACACATTTTTGCAGCTAAATGGAAAAAATCCATTTGGGTATATGTACACCAACTTGAAGTAAGTAATTTCAAATTTACATTACAGTTATTGATGGAATGACACCCAATCCTTGCTGATAGAATAACAGAAATGCGCTCAATTAGATACAGACAGACTGACAGACAGACAGACAGACAGACAGACAGATGAAACGTGAAATGTACTTACTGGCACCACTACAGCATTAATATAATCCGTCCTGCCGTTTGCTTGTGATCGTAGGTACGCCCTGAATTTGTCCGCTAGACAGAGGAATAAATTACTTCACGCACATTGCTTTTCTTGCTACATAAAGCAACTTAAAATACATTTTGTAATACGAATCTAGGGCTTTCACCAAGCTCACTGGGGTAGGTATCATGTTAATGAAGCCATGTTTGCTACATAAATTAAACATTGATTTGTTGTGTCTAACGAAGGATGAAATATGGATATAGGTACCTTACGTAACATCCAGGACATACATAATATGAAGGATGATATTTGCTAAATTATGGTAATTTACCATATCGGGCAGATTCGTACAGGTAATATTCATGATAATAAGCCAATGACCTATTCAGCAGAACAGATACATGTACAGTGCCATTCTTGGAAATCGGAAATGTTAATAACGTACCTGCTAGGACTGTTGAGATTTTGTTCTTCATCTTGTTGTTCGGTAGTAAAGCAGCTTTGCATTCAGTTTCCCCATAGTGTGGTTTCAAGGGTTGTATTTGCTTAATGAAAAACATATTTGAGATATCAAAATTCCTTATACATACTACAATGTTCAGACAAGGAACAGAAACAATGTGTAACGTAGAATATCAATTTATATCTTGGTACTTTTTGTGAAAGTGAGTATTGCGATATTCAAAGATTCACAAAATATGAAATACTTGATATTTGTCATCAAAGTACTTTATGCATTACGACCGGTTTAATGTGGAAACATCAACAATACACCGAACATTTAAGACACCATGACATTTTCAAAAGTATGAATATTGCAGATATATCTTCTTAATTATATAAATCCAACATGCAATACGTTTGTATTAGAAAATATGCTAAAAACAAAATTACCTCCTATATCAATATAATTAAGATGGCTTTTTTATTCATATGAAGCGAGAATAAAAAAAAAACCTTATGGGTGTAACATAGAAAAGAATGATCATCTTAGCACTCTTTGAAATAGCAGAAAATATTTTAAATAAACAAATGTCATCTTGAACCATCCATACAAAAATACGTCAGCACCTGATACTCCTTTCTAAGCTTTGTTTGGTTGGTTGGGCCGCCATTGGAGAGAGTGTTAAGAGTTGTGTTGTACGTCATTCTGGGAATAAGCGTGTCCGGCAAGTCGAAGGCTTCAGCAAGGAGCTGGTGTATAGCTATGTATTGCTCCTGCACAAGTAAGGTTTATTTACGTTCTTTTTAACATCAATACTTTAAAACATCTATAAACGATAAATCAGTCTGACTGAAAATATGTTAATGTATATTTTATATACATATTAAACCCAAGATTTATGGGAAAAAACAACAACAACAAAATACAGAAAAAATATTAGAGTAACTTATGGAGACTCCTGGAAAAGAGCAAGGCGGGTAAGACCATGTGTTCTGGAAAAGTAAGTGTCTTCTACTTCATCGAGGACTATCGCCTTGTAAATATTGGTCAATACATGTAAGTTATGTCACATTGTCAAATGAGCACGGGAAGCAGGAAACAAAAAATATTTTTCCAGTTCATATAACTTAACTTACGTTTGTTTGAACCATGTTGATTCTATCCTTCCGCATGGTTTTGATGTATTGTAAAACGTCAACTTGTTCGAACTCCTTTCCGTAGTCCAGCAGAGCATCGAGGGCTATGAATGTTCCGGTTCTACCAATACCAGCACTGCAAAAAGTTCATTAATGTCTATCGATTTACGCTGGTTAGTATTTGAACAATTAATAACCAGTGTCGAAACAAGTATAGAAAGGGTCATTTATTTATAACATTGTCGATGCAAAATGATGAACTGTGCTTTGTAAATCAAACAACTTCAACATAGATATATTCATCAGTCGTATAATTACAGTTGAAAACAAAAGATAATCATGATGAACTCCCTAACCACGACGGGAGTGATGGGTTGGTTTGGTGATGACAGTGTTTGGTGATAGATAATAATTAAGGCGTGCGGTTTCGATGGAAATGGATACCTAACATACCTGCAATGAATAACCATCTTTCCTGGGAGGGCGCTTGGATAGTGCTTCACGCGACGGTGGAAGACGACGAGTTCGTTTGAGTCTGGAGTCCCGTGGTCAGGCCATGTGGTGTAATGGAACTGGTGTATTTGTCGCTCAGATTTTGTCTGAATAGGATAATGGGATAAGTAATATGGAAGTAAGAATTAAAGTAAAACATGAAATGAGAGAGAGAGAGAGAGAGAGAGAGAGAGAGAGAGAGAGAGAGAGAGAGAGAGAGAGAGAGAGAGAGAGAGCAGTATAACATGTACCTTCTTTTCTGTGACTGTAAGATCCCGAAGGACATAAAAAGCATAAGTTCGTTCCCTGTCTAGGATGATGTTGAAATGTGGAGTTGCTAATGGCTCTCCTTCATCTGGCCAGTATTTATCGCACTTTGGCTACAATGACGAATTTCAGAACCTGATTACAGTGCAACTGAAGTGGGCTGTTCAAATTCGCCATCCGTTAAAAACAAAAATCGCATTATATTACTAAACAATTTAATTGTTTATTTATGTAAAAATAAAGTATATATGTGACATACCCTTCCTTCTTCCACCACATTTGTTAGCATAACAATTTTGTCCGACTTCAGTTGCCAAATCATACGCCAGAAGTCATTGACGGTCCCAGTCCTTGGACCTAAATAATATCAATATGGATGAATTTGCTTAAGTATGGTGAGTGTCCAACCGATTTTCTTATGAAACCAAGACGATTAAAGTATTGGTCTGACAATTTTACCCTATAAGCTGTATATTTACTTTATCATTTATTTACTATTTATTTATTACTAAGAAAGAAAAATACTTCAAGCTTCAAGAAAATTTGTTTTGGTGAGTGTAAGAACTTCATACAAAAATATCCCATTTCCCTAAAACCCACATATATCATTCAAACACAAACCGAAGTCTTAATAATGATAGTTGCTGATATACTTTATTCCAGACACTATTATGATTTAATGAAAAATGTGTTATGTTGCTGGCCTACCATCACTGAAATTCCATAGCTCTACTAAAGGTTAAGTCATCACCATTTTAAAAATAATCTCTAATATTTTACCAAGTCTGTTCTAATTCAAATTACATTGTAATGGTGGACATCAACTTATAGTGGTTTGGCGTGACCCTAAGTAAAATGTTCATATTCTTATATGCGAAAGCGTTCATTCTACACATATATTTTTTATTTTCTCATTTAAAAACATACCATCACCTTTTCTTCTATATTTGAAGAGTTTTTTTTTTTATTTTATATAAATATGTGCTTAAGATCGGTAAAATATCCATTAAGAACAAAACAGCTGTATAATTTCGTTCCTGTCAAGGACAGACGGCATATATACCTTATTTGTGTTGAAGGTGGAAGTCACCAGTGTGGGTCTTTAGTAAATTATTGATCGTATCATGATATATCGTCTCGTAATCAACTTACCTCGAATTAAGCAATAGTTATATAGCATGATTAAAGCCGAAAGCACGTATGCACTAATGTGGTATATTTCCAATTGTATAAAAAACCAAATTTTACCTTGTGTTGCGATGTATGCTGCCGTTTTTGTAACACTCTGTAAAATATATATGGATATGAATTATCATCTGGTTTAATGTCATATTTATCACATGCATAGTTGGTAAGGTATTCCTCAATTGAGAAAATCGAAAAAAACATTTCAGGTCATAAACTTTGAAATGTAAGAATTATATCTTTATATAACAGTCTTAATATGGATTTTGATACAGAGCTCTTTACTGTTGGCTCTACTTACATCGATGTAGTTAGCATTGATGTAGTCCGAGTGCGGATCATTCCGAACTTTGTCAAGAATAACACGAGAGTGATCATCTGTAAAATAAGATTAAAATGTTCCATGAAACCACATCCTAACATCATTGAAAACATTGTAAAACAGAATCAACATATTCTTTAATACGTCGCATACGTCTAAACACAAGCAATATTTTCGGAGTACCTTTTCCATTGATATAATCATAACGATTCAAGAATTAGTACAAACATCCGAATTAAGACATTCAGATATTCCTCATAATTTCAAGAATAGAATCCCGATTGAAATAATATCTCTGTATTTATTTTACTAATGCCAAATCATAAAAGAAATCAAAGCTTATTTTAATACAATCAAAATGTTTTTCCATTGAATTTTTCGATTGATATTGTAATTTTGCATATTAATGATATCTTGTAGATAGCTCCACATTTGAAACATATTGCATTGTTATTTTTTCGAACACCCAAGTACCTAAGTAATAACCGCAAACACCTACAATGTCATAATCGGTCACCTGTAGTACTTAAATAATAACCACATAAAGTACAATGTAATCGGTGTAATCACCGTATCTGTGACAATAATAGAAAACTAATTTATCAACAGAAGGACAAAGGCTATACTTACAGGGAAACGTGGTCTTAAATCGATTTTTGGTTTTGTTTTGTGGAAGCATTCCAATCTTATGTTCATGTAAAGCTCCATATGGTATTGACTATATCAAAAATAAAATTATGAATAGATGTGCAGTATGTGCTTTTAAAACGAAAAGCAGCATTAATCGGAAAACATCTTTCCAAGAACAAGTTCCATTTCATTGAAAGTTATCGATTACGTTATCGTATTAAACTTTAAAGTTGTCATATAAATTTCAAGATGATTCATTCATTCACATAAAAAATATACTGCACCTTGAACTCATTCTCGAACGCCTTAGCCTTATTTTGCATCTTTGTGTGTACTAAAGATTTGAGCGTGGAAACGGGAAATCCAACAGGGCCGGAATTATAGTAAACGCTATCGCCAGAGCGAGAGGCACTGGCTACCTGCTCCGCATTCACATACACGTTTCCGGTACCTTTGGTTGGATAATCTGGATCTTCATTGAAATCTGTTGCAGGCAAATTGAACATTCAGATAATTTTGAAGCAAAGTGCTATTTCAACTTTATACTTCGAGAGATCATCGTATGACAAATACACGATAAAATGTATTAAATGAATGATCACCTAGGAGGACGTTGCTGTACACATTATGCTCGGGGGGCACCACAGGTTCGCTACGAGAATTTTCTGTTTCTAACGGTTTGCTCTGGCCTTTCCTGTGAAGCTTGTTGGAACGTCCGATATCATCAAAGGTGTCTTGTTTACCAGCATTCTGTCGACGTCTATGGAAAAAATATTGTATGATCAAGGAGCCTATCGATCTTTATAAATGAAGAGCATAAACGAAACGCATGCTAAGGACAAATAGTCTATACTTGAATTTTACTCTATGTGAAATTGTATAGATAACTCTACAATGGAAAAAAAAAAAAAAAAAAAGAGGCGTAAGATATGCCAGAAAAGTGTCTGACTTTTCAATCGCAGATCAAGATCGGAGGCGTTTTTTTCCATAAAGCTGCGACCACGGATCACACAGAGCAGTCATAGCTTTTATATGGAAAATAATTTAAGCAAGTTTTGATCCACAGCGCGATAAAACTAGCAATTAACAAACCAAATGTTCCTTTCTCACAAAAAAGTTCTTAACCTTACAATGTTATTTTGTTAAATCTATCACTAAAATATTTCATATACAGGTATGCATTTAGTATCAAATAATTTAACTATTCATTCATCAATAAAGTCATGATTTACCAGCACAAATGATTGTTATTATCAAACACTAATAAAAGGGCATTGGCAATGACCGAGTCTCAGATTGATTTTTCCCATGGTACACACCTTCTGATATATATTGCTATAACTACGGCGATGACAAGGATAGCAAGTACCCCTGCTATAGGCCCGGCTATCGACCCTGCGTTAGTCGATGGCGTAGGATTATCCGACACTTCGGCTTGCTCTGGACAAATGTATAGGCATTTATATACAGTAATTCAATAACATGATCTGAATAAGAAAAGTACGAAGACTTAAGCTTTGCAATGTAAGAAAAAGCAACCTTGAGCAAATTTATCAAATCGAAAGTGAAGATAATAGTCGTATTTACTGTGTATATCCAACAAAATGAACTATGGGAAGATTATTTTTTTCGGTGGTTCATAAAAAAGTAATTACTTGTTTCACAGTAAATTCCTTCGTATCCAGGATCACAAGTCACACACACACCAGAGTTTTGTTCACAAATGCTGCAGTGACCACATGACATGTTACAATTCATTCCGTACAAACCCGTCATGCATTCTATTGAAAACAAAACAAGCCAAGGATCAAATAATCTATTAGATGAAAGATCAATATTAATGCAGTATTTCACATCATTCTTCATTTTAACGGACATTAAGTTTTATATTTGTCGATAACATATAAATGACATTCATCATATTTCGTTCAATTGTGTTACCAGTTGACTTACTCGTGCATACTCCGCTTTCCTGTTCACATTCGGAACAATTGCTGCTACAATTTTCCATACAGTACGTCCCGAAAAATCCTCCTATGCAGCCTGCACATATATAGATATTTACATAATTTAAACGAGTATATCGATTTTAACATGTCTATGCAAACACATTTGATATACGGTTCATTAACGCGTTTGTGTGATTCCATATGGGCAAATCTTGCATGTATTTGTTAAATATGAGGTTTATCTATAACAACATATTATTTGTTGTACATGACATGCCTGATTATAATATATCAAGTGAACATTTCGCTCTGAGTGGATACCATTGTTTTTTTCCTTTATTGCCATAGAAAAAAATGTTAATGTGTGTGATTCATTGTGTAAGATAAACGGGAATCTTGTACAATGTAGTGTCCAATTCTTAAGCTCAACTTTTGAATCAGGCTCTATTTTGAAATAAATGAGACAGTTTTAAAGGAAAACAAAACTTGCCGAACTCATTAAAGTTTATAATCATTTTATCATCGTTTTGATCTATATATCATTTGTTTACGTCAATACTTAAACTGTCGTTAATTTCATGGAAATTGGACAAACATATACATCCTGAAAATGTGATGCTCTTTGTACATTTATGTCAGTGTTGACTTATTATTTTGAGCTTATTTGCAATTTTATTGGGAAAGAAAATGTCTATGTACATGTATCTATGTCATTATTTCAACCTAAGTGTTTTTGATACTTAACGATATTCTCATTACCAAATCATCGCGATGAAAAAATGCAACCCGAGGAACATACATACGTAAGTTTCACTTATTATTACCAAGGTGTGCAAACTCTGGTTATTAAACATAAAAAACAAATCACAGTTCGTGAAGGTGAGAATAGTACTTCAGGTGTTGTCATTTAATGGTATATAATTATATATAAACACATATCCTGTGGATAATATCTTGGTAACGCTGTACATCTATTTTATTTTATGATTCCGACGTTTTCTTACCTTTGTATTTTCATTATGATAATTTATTGTATATATCATAATACTGATACACAGGATACGGTTTCATAATGTGAACGTTAGTAGGGAGGAAGTTGCGAAATACACGTGAGCAAGCGAAGCGGTGGAATTGTCGTTTGAGCGTGTTTATGTTGAAATGCCCCAAATACAGTTTGTGTTTTGCATTTGTTGCATATCAATGTACATGTATATAAAGTGCGTACCGATAAGTACAATTCTATCTGAGAATATAATACACATTTTGTTTAGTTTTGACTCCTTTTTTGGGCAAGACGGTCATTTATACAGTCCTTTGCGGGCGAAGTAGTTAGTGAACGCAGTCCTGTGCGGGCAGGTCTACTGGCGTATACGTTCCTGTGTGGACAACTGTATGAATTATTACATATGTTGACAACCATGTAACTCCTGGTGTCCTGTGTGGACAGATGGTCTGTTGACTGTTGATGGGTGTCCTATGAGGGCAAGCGGTTTCATAGATGACTTATACTGTTTGTGTCTGAGCAGATTACCATATTTCTGTATCGTGGAGTATTGCGACTGGAGCAGCCGTCGTCAATGGGAAGGATTTAGAGAACATTTGTGAACATTTCTGTGCTGGGCGTTATGTGAATGACTACTGAGTTACTTTGTGGATATCAGTACGCTAGGATATTGTAACTAATGATACAATAATGGTACGAGTGTGCTTGGTTATGGGAGTGGTATTCTGAGTGATATGTATCTTGGAGATGTGTTAATATATATATACGGGTATACGTAGTGTAATAAAGCCTTGTAAATATTGCATATTTGGTGTTTGTGCCATTCTTATATCAGTAGTGCTAGATCCAGGTTACATGTGTACATAATATAGATTTCTTAAAATGATGAAGGTCCGTTTCCATTACAGTAACCGTTTTCTGTTTATGTCATTGAGATAAAAAAATATTAGTAATCCTTTAAATCACCTTGTAGTGAATCTTAAATCGCCATCCAAAGTAATTGTATTTGTAATACACATATGGATGTGTTCAGTAATTTCAGAATATGCTCTTTGTTAAATGGATATTCGTGGTATGATCATTTAAAACATAGGTTTGATGTCTTCGTTGGAGAACAGAACAAGCTTACGCTTACACTAAAAAAGGGAAGAAATCATAAAAAAGATAGATGAAACTTTAAGGGTTTACCTGCCGTACTTATGATTTGATTGGAGGAAGATTTCTTGAGGCGACGCCACGAAAGCTACAAATTTGTGACGTAATAATTCAAATACAATGTAAAAATGTACAATAAACATGCACAGATTTTATATATGAAAGTGAATAAAACTGTTTAAAAGGTAGATTAAGATACAGCTTCTTTAATGGTAAGGGCCTAAATTTGAAGTTATATAGGAAACTGAATTCCCGAACCATTGTCACTTGATATGGATTCGAATAAGTAACAACAGAGTCAAAAACTGTTGTTTCGTCCCCCTAAGTCTCGACTGATGTTAAGAGCTTAAATATCAGGCAACTGAGGAAAATCCAGTGATCGAAAGAATAGTCAAAATCCAGACTGGGGTGTGTAACAACCTAATAATTAAATAAATTTGATAATTTTTATATATCTGAAAATTAAAAAAAACCCAAGTGCATGTGCATGTTCAAACAGTGTTACTATGAATTGAATGAACACAATAATTAAACGTATGGGTTACTTTAATGTAATCGATGCTAACCTGCGCTTACAGAAGATCTTGTCCTGTTATTCATGTACGTTTCGAAAACTCTCCGTGTAAAAGTTTGTTTTGTTCACAATTAACCATCCTGTTCTATTTGAAGAGTTCGAGGTAAGATGTTCTTGTCCTGTCAAAGAGCCATTACGTTTTTTTAAACGACGAAGCTTTATTCAGCGAATCAACAAAAAGAAATTTAACTTACCACTACAATTGCCTGTATCCTGCTCACATGTATCTTGACAATTTACAGGACAGTCATCTTCACATGTAGTACCACGTTTTCCAGAAATGCATTCTGATAATATGAAATACATTCCATGAACTATTTCCTATTCAATTTAGTAACCTAGATAGAGTAACAACGTTCCTTTAATCACTACCTTGTATTACAATTAACTAAACAAATTTGTCAAAATTTATTCTCATATTTTCAAGAAGACTTCAAAAAGTGCAATCGCATCAGATTAATGAAGAATCTAATATCTGAAACATGTAGAGTAAATTAAATGTTTTTATAGATGTTATATATTTTCTGATAAAGATGTGAGGTCTTTTTTTCTCCATTTTATTGTTTCTTTGATTGAGTGGTGTTTACTGAGATATTGAAAATATGTATGTATACGAACGAAGGATGTCCGTTTCCATAAGACATAATATTGATGATTCAGACAGGCAGGAAAACACCGGAGGAAATACTGACATGTGTTTAAAGTGAACAAGACCAGGTATTCCGGAAGAGGAAGCGACCCCTGCTTAATCCACGCTATTCGCCATGCAAGTTTTGGTCCGTTCAAATAAGGAGTGTTCCAAAATGAAAACAAGGAACATATATAGAAACGGAACAACCAGACATAATAACTAACTCCAGACATTTCTTACTTAATATCGGAAAAGGGAACAAATATTCTCAGTTCACGAAATCAACAAATTAAATATATAGTTTACCATTACAATTTCCCCTATCCTGTCCACAGGTATCCTTACAATTCACAGGACAGTCATCTTCACATTTTGTGCCATGTTTTCCGGAAACGCATTCTGAAAATACAAAATACTGACATGAGTGCATAAGCTTAACTCAAACTCATTTTCGAATAACCTAGGGTTAAATATGCACAAAACAGATTTGCATGGAGAATCATGAGTTCAAAGTGAACAAGACCAGATATCGGGGAAGGGGAAGTGCCTAGTGCTCAATCGACGATACTCGCCATGTAAATTTTTGTTAATCTAATAATGATGTGTCACGTTCTCAAATGAGAATAAAACAAAATAATAACGGAATCACCAAACAATCTAACACCAGACATGTCTTACTTGATATCGGAAAAGGGAACAAATGTTTTCCAATGAGTTTATTAAAACGATCGTAATCATTATCTCTCTGAACCTGGTGTTGTCAGTTGACGAAATATATCTATTTGATATTAAGTTAAAAAAAAATTTCATGGTTGAAATACCAATAATGTATCAGCTTCGCTTTGTTGTTAAAACATGCATACTTTTATCCAGATCAATTTGATTAAGCAAGGTTTGTTTCCGCTTCCGCAATGTCCTGCTTTTTTTCTGCTGTGGTTTCCATCGATTCCGAGTTTGAAATAAGGTTTCATTGTTTAATGCCATATCAAACATATGTACATTAAATAAACCCAAATATTCTCAATTAAGGAAATCAACAAATAGAATTAATAATGTACCATTACAATTCCCCGTATCCTGCTCACATGTATCCGTACAATTCACAGGGCAGTCATCTTCACATTTGGTACCATGTTTTCTGGAAACGCATCCTGAAAATACAAAATACTGACATGAGTGCATAAGCTTAACTCAAAGTCATATTCGAATAATCCAGGGTTAAATATGCACGAAACAGATTTGCATGAAGATTCATAAGTTAAGAGTATCCTTACAATTCACAGGACAGTCCTCTTTATATATGTTATTATTCTTACCGGAAATGCATCCTGAAAATGCAAAATACATTCAACCAAAGTTGTTTTCGGCATTTCAGTAATGCTAGAAAAGAAGAACGATATTCTTATGCCTGTTTATAGTTGAAAATCAAGCAAAATAGCTATATATCATTCCAAATTTGTGTGGGAAGAAGC